AAAAGGGAGCTGGCTTTTATTCTAACTTTAAATTGCACCTCATCATTTTCCACACAGTCGACACTTTACTCTCGTCCTTCCACTCAAAACATCAAGCATTGCTGCAAAATCTGTCTGATGATCTCAGTGACCAAATGCTGTGATATCACATAAACAGCGCTATATTGTCACCACGTGCGGTACAACCAAACATCGTCATTATTTAGTGAGCGCTTGCTGCTTAAGATCTGTCCCAGAAATCTGGTGGCTAATGTTCTCTGAGGAGCCGCCACCCTCACACCATCTGTCAGCTGTGAAACAGTCGAAGGAAGTGGGTCATCAATGAGGACGACACGGTGGTGAACACAAATCTCACATAAATTAATACCATGATTTTTATTATTAGCTACAACTGGGGATCATTTTTAAATGTGGATTTTTTTTTAAATGACATAGCTGACAAAAGAAAACATACATAATACTGATACTAACTATAAAAGGCATTTTTAGTGCCATTTCTTACCATCTAAATGAACCAGGATTGGTGATATGGGACAGATACATCAAAAAATGTCTGAGTTAAAATTTCAGACTTTAATCTTTAATTGGTTTTGAGATATTCGTGTCCAAAAATTGCCTCAGATTTCAATGTGCAAAGAAAATTGCCTGAAAGTGGGTCAATGGACCATTAAAAAAAACAAAAAACAAAACACCTATATCTTGAAATGCATAAGATATATAAAGCTACAATCATTATATATGTGCAAATATATTTGGACCATAAGATTTGTATTTGATATTGTATGTAGCCACAGTTGCCCTGGGGCGCACTGACAGAGGCGAGACCTACAACTAAGATATAAAACAAACTCTGACAAGCTTCCTGTTTAATCAGCAGCTCATTTGCATTTTATTCCCATTTCTTTTTTGACCCTCTATTAGCAGAAGTGTCTTCCAGGCACTGTTGACCTCATTTGTTGACCTTATTACTGTAAACTGCGAGGCAGAAGTACCCAAGTATCATCCTGTGAAACCAAAATCACCCCTTCTCATTTTTTGCTGTGGCGCTTATGCTTGATGCGACCTTTAATTGGAAATCAGACTAGAAGGGACTGAGCTCACCTGTTTTTGCAGCTCCTCCAGTTTGTGGTTGCGAGCGTGTAAGGCTTTACTGGGAAAGGCCCAGTAATAGTTGGATGTACCTACTCTCTCACAGTCCACCATGTTGTCATCGACAAGGCTCTGCAGCACTTCCTTCACAGTCATGGGAGCTGAAATCAGCAGAGCACAAACATTAAAATGGTGTTTATTTCTCCAGCGCTCAACTGCACACCCGTGGATTTCATGCCATTTGAGTACGATGCTTTCTCCTGATTTAAAACTGAGTTATGGCCCGTACAAGCTAGGCAGTCTGTAGCCTTTATATCTGTAAATATAAAACACATCTGATGCTGGGATTGACAGTGCACTCTGCAGAGGACTTACAAGTAAGGTCCCACTTTTTACTGCTGGAAATGTATGCTGCTCAAATTACAAAACTCAAACCCACACATCTGCAGCCTATCTGGCTGTTTCATACAGATCTGAGTGAACGCTGCATGAGAGGATGTAACAGAGCACAAGCTACATCTTGAACAGTGTCAGCGGTGAAATGTGCTCCTCCTACACGCTTTGCTCCACTGTTTAACTGAAAGAGCTTATCTGCTGAGAGGATGTAGATCCAGCAGCAGAAAGAATTGGATGGAAAATGGGGAACACTCTGGATGGATTAACCAAAGTCCATAAGTGCTCGTTTCTCTTTTTTTACCTATAAGATTCAAGCAGCTTCATCCTATTCTGACTCCTATGTATATTATTACCGCTCCCCCCCCCATTCATCTAGCCCCTTTTGTCACATTTCCAACCCTTCTACAGGAAAGCGTCCCCCACAATGTAAATCTCTTATTGCCCCTTCCCCCCATGACGCAATAACAGGGGTCAGAAACATGTGCTTTTAATCATGGCAACAAGATCCAGTTTCTTTAGATTAATGTTGTGTCCATTTCAAAACAGAATCTCTCCTTTGTTCAGTCAAACACGCTCAAGAATTTCATTCTTCAAGACGATTTAGCACCTAAAAATCTAATTTTGTATTATTAGAAATTTTGCCTCAACCATCAGAAAGTCAGGCTGCAGAACCAAAAGCTTCCGAAAGCCTCTGAACTAAATGATTTCTGCTACTGATAGGTTTGGTTCTGCTTACACACACTAAAGATGGCAATAGCCCCGTCCTGGTTGCCATGGCAATTCTGTAAGCATGTCACCACAATGTTTTTAAGAATTCATAAATGTGCAGTGCACGCTGATGCTGTTTGTCCCTTATGGTATTTAATTATCTCTATCTATTTGTCATTTTTCTGTCATACTCTAATTCTCCTTTCCATTAATCATGCCTGGACCAACACACTGGTCAGTTTTCTATAATTTTGGATATCAGTCTTGCACTAATAACATTTACGGGTCACTTACAAGACTCAATTTAATTCAATTTTATTCATATAGCACTAAATCACAAGAACGGTCACCTCAAGGTAAGGTAAAGACTCTACAATAATACAGAGAAAACACAAGTGGAAGCATTTGGTGACAGTGGGAAGGAAAAACTCCCTTTCAACAGGAAGAAACAGGACAAAAGACACACTGTGGAATAGAGACAGATAATAATAATAACTACTGACTGGTGTGTAAACGCAATGAAGGGAAAAAAAGATCAGTGAAGAAGAAACACAAATTGCATCATGGAGAGCCTAAACCTACTGTAGCGTAACTAAGGGAGGATTCTGGGTCACCTGATCCAACCCAATCTATACACTTTATTAAAAAGGAAACTTTGAAGCATAATGATTATGAAGTAACATTAATGCAGAGACAGGCACAAGATCTGATTGTGCATGCCTCTTGTGCATCATTGTGAGTTGCTCAGCTCACTTTAAAAAAAAAAGAAGAAGAAGAAGACGACGACGAAGAAGAAGAAGAGCCCGCTAACTCTAACACTTTGGTGTGAGACACCCGCTTTCGACCCATCTCACTCTGCCTAAACTAACCACACACGCATTAAGAAGAAGTCTCAAAGTGAGACCTTTATGGGGAAATAAATATGATACAAATTGGCAAAAGTCAGGCTTTGTCTACATTCAACACACAGATTGTGCTGCTTTAGTTGAAGAAGGTGCATGCAGATCATTCCAAAATATATATATATATATATAATATAGTCAAATATTTCCTTAACAAGACTCATCAGAAATGACAAGAGCCTACATTTTGATAAAACAGTAACTGAAGATTTGTTTGTTGCTTCCAGCTGTTTCCTTTTCCTCTGAGTTTATTACAAACCAACATCACAGCAGCAAGATCACCTCATGAGCCATCTGGCTGAATGAAATATGAGGCTATTCTGGTAAGTGGATATATATACAAACAAAATCAGAAGAAAGTCTGGTCTAGGAAAAATAAGAGTGAAGTCTCAACCAACCTTTAAACTGAACTACTGTAACAGAGGACTCAAAGCACTTCACCCAGTCACACACACACACACACAGTTTTTTTTCTAAGCCTGAGCACTTTGACTAATATTCACACACAGAAGCTTCATATTTTTCACTCACACTCCAATCAGCTAACACTTTGACATCCAGACTAGTGGAGTCAGGGATCAAACCACTGACCTTCCGATTGGAGCTGTTGTTCTTTACTCACCTATGCCTTTTGACTTGGGGGCAATCTTCTCAATGTCTTTCAGCTGAAACACATCTTTCTGGGAAGAGAGCACAAGAACATGTTCCAGGATTTAAAAAACAAACAAACAAAATAAAAACTACAATATCACAGAGAAAGAAATTATTTAAAACTATTACATCTCAAAGAACTGCTTCTGGGTGGTAACATAAATAACATTTGCATAAACAGAAAATAAATTGATTTTCTGGATATTTTAGTTTGTGGTTTATCCATGTTAAGGACTGCTTAAGTATCTCATTTTCTGCACTTTTTTATTGCCGATTTAAATGTTGAAAACCAAGTTTCTAACTCTATATTATGGTGCATGAATTTAAACATTGAATCAAACACGTCATCTGCTGCCTGGGGGTGGGGGGTATGTTTAGTCAGGGGATGTATTACATCACGCATGTATAATGGTTGAAAATAATCACATAACAGCAATGACCAGTATGAATAATAGGACACACAGTAGGACAGAGCAGTGGGGATATGGAGGCTGGGTCACCTGCGATGGTAAAACTCACAGAGTCAAAGAAAATCTCCATCATGCGAGTTCTCTTCTCCTCCAGACTTAGTCCTTTCTTCTTTGACTGTAACAGAGGGTTAATGTTATCAATCTATATCTGAGGCACTGAGTTACTAACAGTTATTATTTACGAGTAACAAGGAGCCAAAGGTAATAGAGATTAGAAGAATGACCTCTTGAAATCTTTCATCTAAACAAGTTGCTTATATATTCAGTGGTTCACTGTGAAGTAACTAAATGAAATAGACAGCTAGCAGGGGTATGACTGGTCCAATGACAGGTAATGTAAAGTTTGTAGCCGTTTACCAAATGTATGATGTGAAATAATAAATGCTGCTTTGTGAAAGTATCGTTAGCGATAGGGTATAAGCTTTTACTCTTTAACATGCTGCTGTAGCACAATCATTTCCCTTGTGGGATCAATAAAGTAACTGTCTATTTATCTAAGCTATAAGCTAGCTTACAAATGATAGCAAACAACTACGTAAACGCCGGTGGTCTTTACAGGAGGTACAGTAGGTTAAGGTGCGCTTCTGCTTACCATTTTCAATGTAGAGTTCACCAACAACGACCACTAAGATTAACGTTTTAGCCACCTGAGGGTAACACAGGGCTGTTGTAAAGTTTTTAATGTAAAGAAGAAAGATTAGGCGACATATAAGCAGAGCGGGGACGCAGAAGTAGCGAATTTCCCGCGGAAGGCTGTGACGTACCAATGTTGCGTTTATGGAACTTCAAAACTCACCAAGTCACCAGATGTTTTTTGTGTGCTTAGAGTTACTGTCTGTTTGATAGAGATACAGCATCAATAATAATTCCAACATTCTGAATGCATTCAAAATATTTACTGTTAAATTGAAGCACTACTTTTACACTCCCCTAACTCTCTCAATCCTGATTTACCAATAAAAAACTAACAGTATCCGGATTACGAGTGCTTATGAAGGCAGCATTGGGGAGGAGCACTGTTTTTTGACTTCCGCTTATGGCTTTATAGCGCCCCCTGTCGTCTGATGAAATAAAAGGCCAAAGCAGACAGCCCTGAGCAACAAAAACCTTCTATGGTCAGAAATATCCACACCCTGGCTTTCCTTGGGCGGTTCCTCTAAAAGGGGCGTTTGTTGAGTAGACTTAAAGGCTTTATCTGCAGTCAAAGACTAAAAACTGTTTGGGGCCATAAGATTAAAGTGATGTGCAAATATTTTTGAAATTACTAGTGTCATTCTTTATTTATCATATCTATCTAAATCCAGCTTATTGCAGCACATGTATTACACACAAAAGCACTATCATTCATTTCTATGGGCACTTTAATTCCATTTGGCATTACAAATATAAACAGGACAATGGAAAACAAACAATTTACAAGATCGTGTAGAAAATCGATGACCCGATTCTGGATAACAAATAATGACAGTTGTGTGCTTGAAGACAAACAAGGCTTTCTAATAGGAACACAGTGCATTATCACTTAACGTGCACCTCGACTGCCAAACTTTCTATTGCTGATTGTGAAGGTAGACAAATTATGTGTTGCTAAAACACAATCTGTTAGTCACTCTATAGATTTATCTGAAGTTATAAGAGCACATGGAGGAGTGACGGTGATCGCAGTTCTGCACCTCTGCTTTCAGTGTGATGAAGAAACCTTTCAATCGAAACTTAATAGGATGCATCCTGCCGAGTTCATTCCAAGTATTTAGCTTTTCATTCAAATTCTGCAACTCGAGGGGTCTGCACACGATCACAGCAGAAATGTTAAGAGGCATCATACACAGCAGAAGCATATCAGGTGGCTTATGTTTGGTACCCTTAATTCATACAGTCCCACTTGTCAGCATACTGTTTTTTTTTTTATTCCAAGTGATGACACAGCTCACTGAAGAGCTTTCACATTCAAATAGAAGTGAAACAGCGTCTCTGTTAGAAGGTGTTCAGCTGGAAACTGTTTCATACGCACAGTTTAACGTGTTTAAGTAAAAACCGCATGCACAAAAACATCTTAATCATGCTCTTAAATACCCTGCTATACCTACAGAGGGTGGAACACTTTTATAGTGAAGAGGCAAAATGTAAAAACCCTTGAGAGCATTTAGCAGGAAGCTGTAGTCACTGCTGCTATAGATGGAATTTCATTATTTCTCAGGTGACTAAGGTACCTTTTACTTTAATTATGACTTTACTTAATACAGCCAGTGATTTGAGAAACAAGTGCAAAAGTATTTATTTATTTATTTTCAGTTTCTGCCATGTGGCAGTTCAAAGCTCTACCATGTGGACCGCGTTAAAGCCTTTTCAAATACTCCACATTAAGATGGAAGGTGAACGAGGTCTCAAGTGAGCACCAATCAGCAGCAGCCATTCGTGTAGGTCAGAGGTCATCTCGCTTCCCTCGCACCACTAATAAAGTCTCTCGTGTTAGTTTGGGGAGGGAGAAAGGTCAAACAGATGGCACAATGACAGCAAGATTCAAGAGTGGTGAGGGGGGGGGGAGTGCAAAAAACTTCCAGTTGCTCCGTACTACTGCATGTTTGTACATATGTACACTGTACAGGCTTTGTGTCGAGTGGCTACTGCAGGTAGCGGTAGACTTTGAAGCAGTGGTTGCCAGAATCGGCGACCACGACGTGTCCGTCTGAAGTGAGCGCCAGTCCCTGCGGGCCATAGAGGGGGTCCGCTGACGTGTTGATGTAAGAGAGGAATGAACCGCTGCCATCAAACACCTGAGAGAGAGAGAGCAATATCATCACTGCTGGAAATCAGTGTTTCGTTCATTCTTTTTGCGGAAAATACAACACACCTAGTTATAAAGTTGAAAGAAAAAAAGAATGATTTCATGAATATGGATGATGTAGTGACCAAAATAGTTTTTAGGAAGAAACAATTGTTGCCTTGTATTGTTTTAACCCTTCTGAGACTCAAGCTTTTGTATGGGATAGATGTGATGCAAGAGGTCTGTGAAATACAAGGTGCAGAAAAGCTAAATGGAAGATCTCCATCTGAGGACGCAGGGTCTCAGGAGGTTCAAACACATGTATTTTAGACACCAGTGTGCATCAGGCCTAACATTATGCCTAATATTGTGTCGGTCCCCCTTGTACTGCCAAAACAAGTCTGACCTGCCGAGCCATAGACTCCATTACACTCCTGAAGCTGTGCTGTGGATTCTGGCACCACGATATGAGCAACAGATCCTGTAAGTCATGAGGTGAGGCATCAATATATTGGACTTCTTTGCACATCCCGCAGATGCTCGATTGAGATCTGGGGAATTTGGAGGTCAAGTGAACACCTTTGAACTCTTCGATGTGCACCTCAAACCCTCCCTAAACCATTTTTGCTTTGCTAAAAGAGACCACATCGATCTGTGAATGCAGTTTCCATGAAAAGGTTTACGTGGTCTGCAACAATGCTTAGGTAGGTTGTACATGTCAAAGTAACATCCACATGGATGCCAGGACACAAGGTTTCCCAGCAGAACATTGTCCAGAGTATCACACTGCCTCAGCCAGCTTGAATTCTTCCCACAGTGCATCCTGGTGCCAGTTGTTCCTCAGATAAGTGATACGGACACCGGCCATCCATATGATGTAAAAGAAAACCTGATTCAGACCAGATCATTGCTTTGGGGTCCAGCCCAGTGTTGGTGTTGGGGGTCAGCATGGGCAGCCTGACTGATCTGCAGTTATGCAGCCTCATACACAATAAACTGATGCACAGTGTTTTCTGACACCTTTCTGTCAGAACCAGGGTGAACTTTTTCAGAATTTCAGTAGTTCGTCTGTTGGATCGGACCTCACAGGCCAGCCTTCGCTCTTCACATGCATCAGTGAGCCTTGGCCACCCATGAGCCTGTCGCTGCTTCACCACTGTTCCCTCCTTGGACCACTTTTAAAGGATACCGGCCACTGCAGACGGGGAACACCCCACAAGAGCTGCAGTTTTGGAAACCCAGTCGTCTAGTCATCAAAATTTGTCTCCTTATCAAACTCACTTAAATCCTTACACTAGCCCATTTTCCTTCTAACAGATTAACTTTCAGAACACTTCCTCCGTAATATATCCCGCTAACAGTTGCCATGATGAAGAGATAATCAGCGTTATTCACTTCACCTGTCAGTGCTCATAATGTTATACCTGATCAGTGTATAAATATACTATTAATGGTGTTTTGGTAACATTTCATAAGCCATTATGAGGCAAGATTGTAATGTTTGATGCCACTTAATAAAAAAAGAGAAACAGAAGTTTGTATTAACCGATTCTTCGAGGAGTAGAAATGATTCATTCTGCGTACCTGTATCCTGCTGTTGCCCCAGTCGGCTACTATGATGTTTCCATTGACGTCCACCGCCACTCCTGTGGGGGCGTTGAACTGGCCATTGCCTTCACCATTGGAGCCAAATTTCAGCAAGAATTCTCCTTCTGTGTTGAACACCTGCAGTATGGTTTCAGAGAAGCAACAGCAGAGAGAGAACACTTCTTTAAAAAAATAAAAATAAATGAAAAAATGCACTGTTCTAAGTGTAGTTAGTGAAATACACATGTACTACGTCACTTCATCCTCCCTGCAGAGCTGTTCATTTAAAAAGTTCCACGTCACTGTTATGTCATTCTGAGAAGCTATCAGTGAACATCTGATGACTTCTGCCTCTAGGGGCAAAAACCAGTTAGTCTGAGGCTTCCGGTGCAACCAGCACATATTCACATAACAGAACACTGATATCCAGACCAGGACTCACTGTTTGTGTGCATCAGGCCTGGTTTACAGTCTGATAAATGCAGTGAGATACATTTAAATAAATAAGAAGCAGATGCTGAGGGATTTGAGACCGTATTCTTAGCCGATGGTTTCCTCTTTTGTTCTTTGCACAGACTGTCTGCTCGGACATGATTGGTCAATACTACACTGACTATAAATGGACTCCGAACTTGTTGGAATGTCATAAAATCCTCGTCCACATGACAAATTTCCCACCTTCGACTGATGAATGTGACAATAGCCTTTTAATGTGAATGATACGAGTAGAAAACACTTTGTAAATCACGTTTTGGTGGCAGCTGCTAACATCTGTATTCCTGTAACACACAGACTGCTCTGGGAGTTCACTTGCCTTGACTGAGTGGTTGTGGAAATCTGTCACAATGATCTCGTTGTTGTTGTTGACAGCAGCAAAGTGAGGGCCTGGATTAGAGAGAGATATGATGAAGAAGATTTCAGATATCATTTGTACAGTTTTGCTTGACTGCGACAAAACAAAAAGTCAGAAAACTCCTACATGACAGGTAGAATAGAGTAGAACTCAACTTTATTTTCATTGCACATGTCACAAGGACATATTTGTGGAGGACATGCAGCTTCAAAAGCGAATTCAGCAACAGACAAAAAAGATAAAAATAAAAGTACACTGATTTTTAATGCTTTAATGTTAGAGCATGACCAAAATATTGGTCAATAAAGTTGGATTGGAAAATATTGATATATCAGTCAGGCAACTGGCCATTTTCTGATATATTGCTATCAACATTTATAATAGCCATAAATCCAACTTTAAAAAGTAAAGAAGACAGAAGCACCCTTTAATCATGCTTTGAGTGTTGCTGTTGCATAGTTTATCCACCAGAGGGCGCTCTGCAACTTCCTTGTTAGCCACAAGCAACCAGCTGATTTGAGGAGAGTTGGGCAGAGCCTGAACAACATTTTTTTAAAACAATAAAACAAAATTATTTTAAACTGAATTGCCATCTAATCATAGTAATAACTCAAATAACTACACGTTATGTACCACATGTTAGGGAAATCTGTTCATGTTTCATGTGTCAGAAAAGAAAAGCTATCAGACGACATATTAGACAAAATATCGGTATCAGTGTCAGTCTTAAAACTCCTACATCTGTCGCTCAGATTAAATGTATGACAAAAAACAAACATACAACCAACTCATAGCATGATTAACGAGACACCATGCTGTTTTAGGGACACTTTCGTTTATAATAATGGACGAATGTGATGGACGAGAAGTTGCTTTTTCCATATTAATGACCCTCATGAGGTCAGTGCGGCTCCTCTTCATTCAGCATGCAGGTTGGAGAAAGACTGAATTGTGTTATCTTGGAGCAGTGCACTGTATTACCATTGAGTGTACCTGCAAACTGCCTGTCACCGTTGCCACGGTTACCAAACTTGGTGACCAGCTTGCCGTTGACCTGGAAGATGAAGACGCAGCAGGACTTGTTGTCGACCACGATGATGTGGCCATTTCTGTCCACCGACACGCCTTTAGGACCCATCAGCTTCCCCGAGCCGATCTTGTTCTGGAGAGATTTTATTTCACGAAGCCACACGTGAGGAAATGAGTACTTACAATCACAAAAATACAAGTAATGGTCAGTATTACTGTTTGCATTAACACATAAAACCCCCGAAGCTGCCTTCTATGTGTTTGCACGTAGACTGAGCGCACACCCTAAGTCCTATTCGGGTGATCCCACTCAGGAAACCAGTGTTTTTAACCTGAAAATCTGCACTCTTTTAACAGAAGATAAGCAGGCTGAAAAGGGGAAGTCAAAACCAGCATGAGTGAGTCTCTTAACGCGTGAGAAATTTG